CTAGGCAAATTTTCCGCCTGGTGAACGCCCCCCAGCCAATGATGCAAAACTTCAGTATATATCGTCGTATATAGGTGTTGAATACTTTTACTAGAGCAATGTACATGTGAACGGCTTCTAGTCCCATCCATGTAAAGGTGGCCAGAAGAAAAAAGTGCAAAAGGGAGGCAACAGCTATGCAGAGGCCATCTATGTCAAATGACGCAATCCAACCATCAAGTAAGAAGATCAGGTTAAGAAAGAGCAGGGCTGTGCTCAAATTCATCAGGATTTTTGATGGATAATCTCTTCGCAGCTTCCTAGAAAGAGAAATACAGGTTCATACAATTAATCTGCTTCAATCGCCTGAACTGCTTACATAAGCCAGGTCTACCAGTTTACAAAGTAAATAAAACACAGCGGCCTCCTCGTGCCAATACGCTATTGTGGCAATAAGGCATAGCGAGGTATACCTCTACGCGATATTGTTAAAAGCTTCTGCTGTATGTGCTGCGGAAGACCCAGCACTTCTCTGAGCCCTTAATGAGCTACCTAATGGCTGCAATATTTTAGCTACTGATTTGTTATTAAGAACCTTTCAAATTAAAAATAAGACAATGTGATTCTTATTTTAAATGAAAACTGAAGAAAACTAAAAGAAAATACTTTAAAACCATACTGCTGGCCAGAAGCTCGTCTCTGATTACTTCATCTATCAATCTTTGCTTGTTTTTCAGAAGATACTGTCCAGTGCATGTTGTTATTTTCTGATTTGCTTTTCTTTTATGGGATCTTAAGAAGACCGAAATCAAGTTTTTCTTCTTTTAACTGAGAGACATTGAAACGACGGGCAAACCAGCAACTTCTGCCAACTTTGGACCACAGCATTAGGCCATAGGTAATGCAATAGGAATGCAATAATTAGAAATATTCAGAACTATTTTTGAACATTTCAGAGAAAATCCCTTTTTTCCCCCCAGCAAAATCTCCTTCTTTAGCAGCTACTCTGTCCTGTCCTGACCTGTCCTGTCCTGTTATAGGCAGAATGGTTCCTTTGTGGCCAGCTGCGACTTCATTTTCTCTTTTCACTGTTCACAGAATTGTATCACTTCATAACTTTTGCATTCCCTTAAGTTACCCTGACATTTCAGTAGAATTGGTTTTTAAAACTGTTGTAACACTTCACAGTTTAGCTTCATTTTATTTCTCTTCCCCACTTCCTTCTAAAAGATTCTAGCATGTAATTTTTCTAGTCGGATTTTTTCTTTTATATTCAGGACTGATTATGCTTCAACAGACAGGTCTCTCTCTCTCTCTCTCTCTCTCTCTCTTTTTTTTTTTCACAAAAAGTCTGAAAAGCCTGGTTATGGGTTTAAAAATACATACCTGTTTAGAATCTAGAGGATATAGTACTCCCAGAGGAGAAAATTTTGGGACGCATTAGCCCCGTTGCTCGGTCTGAGCAGCACAATGCAGCAAAAACATGAGGGAATCTGAACTTGCATCTCCTTGAAAAAATTTCTACCTACAGCATTGGGCCCAAGATTCTTTAGTCACTTTTTGTTTAAATACAGATTTGCCTTCCTAGACAAATAAAACACACCAACCATATGGCTAACTTATTTCATGCCTTGTATAAAGGTATTTCTTTTGTGATGCTTTGAAGTAATACTTACTCGAATGCAATGTATGTCAGAAGAGTTGCAGCTGAAAATATGGCAGATATCCCACAGCCTATGTAAGTGATAAAGGTGAGGACCTTGGTATTCTGTGAGTCTATTTGCGCAACTGTTCCCTGAAGATCCTAAGTGAGAGAGGAGGAAGAGGTATAAGTTATCGTAAACACACTTTAATGAGCACAACACAGTTTCTTGGTAATTAGTCAAGTAAAACTCAAAAACACTTTTGCAATAACCCTGATGTTAAGGTTCATGTTTACTGGGTATATTTAATTTATAGTTGTTACACCTCTCACTTCCTTCCCATAGCTCTTGAAAACATTGTGCTGTAAGTATTATAACTGCTGGGATCAGCAGAAAGACAGAGTCTGACTCTGACCATGATAATTCATTATGAGGAATTCAAATGGCCTTTTATGGAAAAATCTTCACTTTTCAGATTTTTAGTTCAGTTGCTTATAGAACCCTTCTTTAAGAATAACTTATTCGTATGAACAATATAATATAAAATGCATTCATATTGAAGTGTAGACCATTCTGGTGAGTTTCTGACATCAGTTCTTGCTATTAGAAGTTCATAAGAATTGATGTAGCTAATCATCTGTGGGTGAAACCAAGGGTACTATATTGCTCTTGTGCTTTATGACCTGTTTTGATATGCAAACTACAGTTATAAATAGAACTGGTCAGAAAAATAGTGACCAAGACATTTCAAAAAAACTGGTGATGAAGTAGGAACATTCTGAAGACTTTTTTTCCAGTTTTCTGTCCAACTGTAATTGCCACACAGTACTGTCTGAGAATAAATGCCAGTGTTATTTCCTTCTTTTAAGGATAAAACAAAGGAGAATGTTTGGATCTATTTCACTTTGGAGTAAATGTGAGCAAATACCAATATTTAATAGTGTCTATTCTGTGGTCACTGTTACTGTTGCCCTTAGCAAAACTATACAGCAAAAAGATACCTATAAAAGGTTACAAAATATGACATTCTTTGCAGGAAAACTAAAGAGCTGTATGTAGCTTTTACACCCTGTGCATCTACCAGGCTCATAAGAAATTTTATATACATCAAGAGAATGTTTTTTGAAAGTCATTTAATATCTAAATTAATGTCAGAAAAGCTTCTTAAAATGGAAATGCAATTAGAAGGTCAAAACTATGTAAAAATCTATTGGAACATAGCCCAAACTCAGAAAACTTCTGCCTTATTTCCTAATGCCACAAAAGCATTCGGGGAACAGAAAGGACTCATTGAATATACCCCCCAAAAGCCCTTTTTTTCCTTGTTGGAGGATGAAAAGTGAAAGAAGAACACCATTTAGGCTGCAGAAAGACAAAAAACTTAGCATGTTTTCATATTTACATCTGAGCATGATGAGAAGGGAGCAGCTTTATTAACAAGGCTTTGGAGGACCAAAGCTGAAAAAGTCTTGAGCACGTGGCTCCCTTGTGCAGTGAGTCCTATGCTAGGAACAGATTTTCTTGTGTCCCTCATTTTATCTTTAGGTATTTAAAATACTAGTAGGTATTTTTCTTTATTATTAAAAGTTAGATCAAACAAGTTAAATCAAAAACATATACCTTCATTAGAAGTAAACATTTTTTCTACAGGTTTGTTTTGGAGGCCAAAGAATGTTCAAGTCAGACTGAAAGCCACAGTTCAGCCTATTACTGAGCATGACTGTTGCCTTTGGGAAGCTAAAGAAGGTTTTGAAAAGTTACCAGATTGCAATATGGTTATGAAATTGTAATGTTCCATCTCTTTCCTGTTGGGATTTTTCTTTCAAAAATATTTCAGAGATGTAAATTTCTGTAGACATCTGACTGCTTGGAGGAATTACACTACTGAGGTTGAAGCGCTCTGTATAGTTATAGTACCTTTTCCTATCTCCCTCATATGCTAAGCCTTACCCATCTCAGCCATCCAGTTTGGAGACTTTGCTTAAGGCTCTGATAGCCTTAAGCTATCATAAATATCATAGAAGTTTCGCAGCAGCCCTCAGTAGGCAGATTTTTTCCAAGAGAAGCCCTGTACTACAAGACAACCCTGATTAATGCCATTTAAAAGAAAGTGGCAAATAAGGTTTTACAAATTTTGCAAAAGAATGTACTTCTTTATACTTTTTGACATCAGATAAATATAAATCTTGTCGGATTTGCAACCTAAATTTGCAAGGGGTGATTTATCCCCTTGAATCTCCGGATAAAACGGAATTACTGTGCTCCCTTGTCTTAGTTTTTCATCCTCATTAGCAGGTTTGCTGGACAGTAGGACATATTTTTCTTTACCGTTCTTTTTCCCTGACAGTATGAAGCTTTATATTTTTGTTCTGCAACAGTCACACCCTTTTCTCTAAAAAAATCCTTTCTTCTACTTTTTTTCTGCTAATACCTTCACACTTTCCTGACCTTGCAATTTCAACTCTACCTAGCCCTGCTCCTCTTTCACCACAAATCTTTCAGTTTCTTCGTTGCACTAATTGCCTTTATAAATTGAACACTCCCTCTCTTCTGCAAACTCTTCTAATCTCTCTTCACACCCTCACATTAATTTTAAGGTCAGCTTCTTTTTTTATTGATCAGCTCTGAGATCCCTTACAAAAAGTTATGGGATGCTTTCCCTTTTCCTTCTGATTTTTCCTCCTTCTGCTACATTCTCTCTCCTTGCCTTGATCTGCAGCTTAATGCATGAAAATCTTGTCACGCTCTCTATCTAGTCTTGAGGGGTGAAAACTCTATGTCGTTTTGTTGAATGACATTGCTAAGGAAAGTGATCGAGACCCGCTCCACCTTAGGACTCATTAGGATCAATTTTTTTCTATTGTAGTAGCGGAAGAGTTGGTACTGGGCCTTGGTTTTACAGTCCCTGATTCTGATCTTCTTTTCGGCACAGATGTGTCCCAGCTTTGAAGTTGGGCAGGATAACACAATATTTGCATTGTGGCATCACTCAGATGTTCCAACCCAAGCTCTTTCATGATATAGTAACTTTGAAAAATTCAGAATACTCTTGTGGGCACATTTTAATTTTTATTTTGTAACACTTAGCCACCTGCAGAGGACATAATAATAATACACTTCCCTTTCACTACTCATTGTCTGCATCATCTCATTCTTGAATCCTTATCATTAGATATTTTGTTATGAAAAGATATCTTTACGAAAATAATGGGTAAAATGATGTATTACTGTGATAAAACAAGTGCAAAACAAATACCTCAAGTAACAAAAATGCATGAAGATAGTAGTTGTGATCCGAGACAAAAACTACATTGTGGTTCTCAGAAAAGACAAACTTACTGAAAAGTGAGAGCTTGCTTACCATTAGGACCCCAAAGTGTGTGAGGTGGTTGCATAAGCAAATCGTCTCATTCTCATTGGATTCTGCTTGCACCTTGCAGCCCGTAGGGTTCCAACCACCATTGCCACCTATGGAAATGAAACCGGAGAAACCACACTTTCCAACAAACTCATAGCACCAGCTCTTTAACAGATTTCTATATTCATTTTGTGCAAATGGAGAAATGCTTTCTCAAATTGAATCAGTGAATATTAAAAATAATTAGCAAAGTAGCAGGTATCAGATTTCTTAGTTTTTGCAGAGAATTCCACCAGGCAAGTGTTCCAAATTATGGCCTGTTAAGTAGAATCAATAAATCTATAATAAAGGTAGGAATTTTTTTTTTGATTAATGAGGGATGAATAAGACTTAATATGCAGATTGCACATTAGGACACACCTTAGATTTACCCAACAATAACATGGTTTTAGAACTTGCCTTTACCACATTGACGGGTTGTCTGCACCTGCCTCCCTCCTACTCATATATCCTCAGGCCATATATGAAAGCATTTATGGCTCATGAGTAGAGGGTCTCGCTCTTCTTCTCTGCACTGTGTAATGCAGAGGGCGAGAGTGGTTAATCCTTGGCTAATCTTGATAATCTTGATCTTAAAAAACTATGAAATAAATTATCCCTACCCAAAAAGGCCATTTTGAAATAAGAAGTGGAAAGATTGTATTTTTAAAAAGGAAATATTAAAAAGTAAATTTTTTATTTCCCATTAATTCTACTTTAATTTTTTCCTGCTAAAATCTAAACTGATTTTGTGAAATAGTTTATGCTCTCTGAATTCTTAAAAACATGTTTGCCAAGCTCCAGGCAAGATCCAGCACATTATCTGACTGACCCTCTAACTCTATCTCAAATTCAAGACAGACTCTCTCAAAAGAATGTGAAGACATTCCAAAACCACTTAAACTTTCCCCAACTCAAGCAGCCACTGAGAACAGACTTCTCCTTGTGTGTCTCTCCTTTGATGTTCTTCTTAAGTTTAGCTTCCTAACTAGGTTTTGCTCTGCTTGTATCCTTCTGCATTCTCCCCAGTTCCTCCCTCTGAATTTCCAGCCTTCAGCTACAACTTCGCATGGTAAATTTTATTTCTTGCAAGACTGTCTTTACTAATTTTCCCTCCACCTTAGATCATACTGCTAGACAGTTATGTTTTCACTTTCTTTTTCCTGGTAAGGAGAAGTAAGGTCTCTCTACTACTCACTAGTGATCTACAAGAAAGAAGGCGGCACTGCAAAGCCATCCCAGGGAATGGTTTTACCTATGCAAACGATAAGTGCTACGTTACACACAGGTTAGGTAATATCAACTGACGATGGGGTAAAATGCTGCCATGCTAATGTGTATGTCCCTATATGACCTTATCAAGCAGACTGTGTCCATTTGCAAGATGGACGTTGAGTCTTTATCTACACAAAATTTATGTAACGTAGTTACTAATCTTTTACAGAAGTAAAACCAACTCAAGATTTGGAAGAGGCACAATCTCACAATTAAATAACCTCACATTTCTGAAACGGCCAGTTAAAAGGATGGTTGAAAACCAGTCGTGTTTCTCATTAGCATTACTATTTGACTTGCACATACAGAAAGATCAGTGAAAAACTGCTATCAGATACAGAAAATTTGAGGAACTTTATTTACAAATTCAAAATGTTATGAAAACTTGCATGCAAATTTTTTAGAAAGAATGTTTAACATCTGCTGTTACAAGAGACCTTACAATCCACAAGAAATGATACAGTCAAACTATTTCTGCAAGGACTGGAGAAGATGCAAGAAGGGCCAAGACTGTGACTGATTTTAAAACTAGATACCTTTACGCCTCCAGAAAAGAAATGACAGTATTTTTAAGCTTACCATTTTTGCTCATATCCCAGAAGACACAGGTAGGCTTAGGATCTTCCTAAGAACAAATGCAAAAGTAAACTTTTTATACCTTTTCAAAGATAAATCTTGTCGACATAAAACATTTACAGCAGATGCTTCACTATTTATTTTTTCACTTAATGAGCAGAAGTATAATTATTACTTGGATTGTTCAAATTTCTTCCAGTTTCAAACTAGATCTCTTCTAGAAGGGTAACTCTGCCCAGAAGATCATAAAACATATAGCACTGCTCCTCTGCACTGTTCCTTTTCCACATACTAAGACTGACGAATTAGTTTCATGGTCTCAATGAAGTTATTCTTGAGTATGATGTCTTCACTTGCCTTGAAACTGAGCAAAAGCATGCTGAACTGTTTTGCCTGACCTTGAAATAATCTTTATAATAAAAACTAAGGTAAAGTGAAACGTGAAAAATCTCCCATCTCAAGGTTAATGAAGCAGTTCCTTATTCCATTAACATTTTACTTAGATATCACATTTTAACATCTCATTTTATACATCTCTAATGTTATTGTTTCTTTTGGAGGAGCTACTGACCTGCACCAACATATCTGAGGCCAGAGTCAAGTTGACACTTGAATGATTGCTTCACTGAAACAGAATATGTTAAAAGGCTGCATTTAGGCTTCTATTTCCCTGAATTAATTCTGGTCACCTTTTAACAATGTGATTCTGTCCATTCCTCCTTTGCAGGAAACCACATGACAACAAAATACCTTGGGGAACATTACCAAAGCAATTCATGCATGATCAAAGAATTTTAAGTCATTCTGAAGTTCCAGTGTAATAAATACTGTCACTGGTCATGAACACTGATTTCACCTATGGTAACTGGCATAGAAATTACCTCAAAGTGGCAGAATTAATGGTCTTTCAGATAAACGTTAAATTCTTAAAGGAGTGAGAATGTGAGGATGGGAGAGGTTACTTATTTTTAGGTTTTAATTGCCTGCTTTTGTTTCAGAAATACTACTTCCATTTGTATTTGTATTCTTACTTAAAATCCATCCAGATAATGAGACTTTATGTTCAGCTTTTACAACATATAACCTGCATTTCTGTTTCTCTGAATAATCAGTCTCTTCTTACCTGAACTTTGGTATGTTTAATCGTAATCTTCACATAATCCTGAAGGTCCTGAATTGTTATGTTTCCAATACTGCATGCCACAACAAAACTGGTCAAGTTGGCAGGAGTTTCTGGATCCTTTGAAAGATTCAGAAAAATATAATAAATGCTGACGCAGCACGTGACACTAAAGCCAGAGCAAACAGTTTTATTTTTGCAGTGTGCCAGAATAAATAAGCTGTCAGCATTTTACACTTTTGATCACCCAATATAAGAACATGCTGTTTATACGATCGTATTATAGGCTTGCCTTGTGGAACTTCCCCTATTTCCCTTATTGTCATAAACATATACAAGCACAATTATAGAGAGAGAGATTATAAGGCATAAATTTCCCTTTTAATCACTTTGTTTGCTTCCACCAGAATTATAACAATGAAGCAGATAACAAACCACGATCTAATTAGATCATTTCCCTAAACAAGAATGAACTAGCTTTCTTATTTTACTGTCAATGCTTCTCCTTTTCTGTAGAGGGGAAGTTTTTGGAGAATAACCTGTTTTCTTTGTATAGCTGCTAAATCATCTTCCACCTTACAATAAATGACCAAGAAGTAATACACAAATTCAAAGCAATGTTATATACTGTAGGAGATAATACCTTCTACAAGGTCTTAACTGGTGGAAATTTAAACAGAAGACTGATTTTGACACTGAGCGATGCAATTCCTAACCAGTGAAAAAGCATCAGGTCGAGAATTTTCCAAAGGAGCATTTTTTTCTTGGAAATTGTTTATCTATTAAAGTGGGAGTATTTTGCAAATACGACTCTCTTTTGATGAACTTCCACTGAAGCCTGCTTAATTATCTGTCTGGTTGGCCTTGTGGGAAGCTGGAAAGTTTGGACTTCCAGGACTCCGCCTGCCGCAGATCAGAGGTCAAAGTCTGTTGCCACACACTTCTCCTCAAGAAAATGGGCTCATGAACTCCTGAAATCCCCAACTCTTTCAGTCTCGGACTTTGGTGAGCCTGACAAAATATCAGATATCTGCCCAGTGGTGGGCTCATGAGATCCCATCACTCATGAGAAACATATTTTTCAGTCCTCAAATTCTGGTTATACTGAAGAAGAATATTTCATTTCCTAAGGATCGTATCCAAGAGTTTTCAAACATACTGAGGTTTTTTGAAACAGTTTCCTAAAAACTTGAAAATTAACAAGGAAGAAAAATGCAGTTTCCTAGCCAGTTCTTGAGTATTCACAGCAAGAGAAAATGCCTTGGTTACCATTTAACTTTCAGTGTGCGACCCAAGGCCCATGAAAGCCTTTGGACAGATTTCTATAGGTTTCAGTGGGCCCTTTCTCCATCAAATAATAAACATTAGAAATAAATATCAGATGGTCTCTTTATGAAGGAAGTTCTTCTTCCTGCTTGTTCTTAGAAAGGAATCAAAATAATATGGGCATTAAAATTAAGTACAGATGACACTGCTTATTTAGCTATAAGGCTTCACTCAGCTACAGTTAGGAGGAAGCTTTTAGTCATTAAAATATGCAGATATATAAAATAAAAAGATGGTGAAGCTAGAGTTAATGACAGAAACCGTGACTAGTGTAGACAGTCATTACAATTCCCATCTATAATATTTACATGCTATTTTCATGAGCTCAAAACTGATAAGGGTGGTGCTCTTCTGACCTGCCTTTAGATATGCAAGAAGTAGTTGTCCACACCTGAAGCAGGGTTTCTTAATATAGTCAGTGAAAAGAAATATACACTTTTAGGGCATAATTCATCAGACTATTTAATATGTGTAGGTGGAATGTAGTTGCCAAAATATAAATGTCCATTTTAAAGGCTTTAGGGTATTCTGCCTCATCTCCAGTTGCTGCTCTAGAAGGTCACTGGTCTCTTATAGGCAGCCACTGCTCTAGTACCTTAGGGTGTCTCAAGCGTCACTATGCTCCTCTGCCTGGGGAACTGAATGCTACTCCTACACTAGAATGAGATGGATCATGCCTTAACAGTGTCCATTCCTCTCCATTAACTGGCTTTGAAGGTAGCTTACGGACAACAGTTCAGATGTTGGTATCTACAGTGAACACGCACACATCTGGCGAGATGAATCCCACCCTGAATAGCTTAAATCAATTTGTCTTCTAAGTAACGTCATCATCAGATTTTAATGATTGGCAGGACAAAACTCACAGGCATTCTCTCCGTTGCAATTAAAAAAAAGCCCAACGCTGTTAAGTACGATGTCTCCCTGTTGTAGAGAACACCTACATAAAATACAGCTAATGGCATTAGGGTTTTTTAAATTTCAGTTGGAATAAAGTATATTCATGAAATACTTTTACACTAATGGATAAAGTTATTGGGTTTGAAATGGCATGTGGATTACTTTATTTTATACTTCATTTTAATTTAATAGGAAAATACAATTCTTTGACATAAGCTACTGCTTTAGTTAGCAATCTGATCAGCCACCAACTTTTTTGTACATTACTTTCTCTTCTTGAACATTTCCAGTCTAGTATTCCTCATTAAAATATACACACTGTGAGATAATACACACTGTGATTACCTAAAAACAACTGATATGTTTAGTAAACCATGAATAATGTTTTTAGATGGACTGAAAAAATCACTGTTCACTATTTATACTGTCTTGGGCTGCACTTCTACTGAAGTCAATGTTATACGAGTAAAGGAGTCTTCTACATTTAGATTTGAGTGGACTGGTCACAAGTTTCTGTTTCTGTTTCATGGTCAGATGTATTTGTAAACAATCATTAGTAATGGAAAATGTGAGTTTTGCACATATTTAATTAATTTGGTTGAAAATGTCACCCATGAAAAATTTGAAAAATAAGAATAAAATGGTGAGAAATTTTAATTGCAGATTTTATTGCTTTACCTCTTGCTGACCTTATGAAGCATACTTAGAAACACATTCTATTACCGTTAAAGGACACATGTGAGAAGCACATACAGATCAATTTTACAAGATCTGTTATGAACACAGTCATGTGCTCCTATTAGCTTATCATACTCACAATTTGAACTGTATACCAAAATCTAAAATATAAAAACAAAAGAAAAGAAAAATAAAGATACCTATATGGTTAGTGGCAAGACCTCCGGACAACAACTTTAATGTAATATAAATAAGATTGCATGTTTTGACCTTATAAGATTTTATACCATTATGATAAGCCTACTCCTGTATTTTTGGGGTTTCCTTATTAGATGTATTCATCCTGTTTTTCTTAAAAGCGGGCTTAAAATGACTACTATTTTAAACAGTTAAAGATGCTTCAGGGTGTATTTCAGAAGGCAACTCAGGGTCATGGGTATTTTTTTGCCTAGACTATCTGAACAATCTGGATACACTGCCAATAAAAACGATAATACAGGGACAACACAATACTACAGAGTTTTGCGGATGCACAAGAGCCAAAGGTCACTTGAAATACTAATGGGAAAACAAACTCAAATTTTTTTGAGTGAGGCTCAGCCTACGGTTCATTACGAAACAGTTTCCTCCTCAATGAACTAATTTTTTAATATAGGTGCATCTTTTGTTTGTTTTTCTAAGCTGTTAAACTCTTTCTAATTTTTCCGGCATATATCACGCTGGAACAATTTACAATTACCATAGAATGGGACCTAAATGAGAAAAAAATAAATCTACTTGGATTCCTTCGGTTTTCAGGTACAAATATTGTTACCTTTATTCCATAACCATGTTGTCTATAGAAACATTCAGACCATATATGTTCCCAGTGCTTGTGGGAACATATATTTATAAAAAGAATAGCACATGTAGAAATAAATATTCTCTGGTTGATGACCATCAGACCAGAGTTTCAAACGGAATAAGTAGTCCATTGGGCACGAGTGTCAACCAATGGTTTTAGGGAAAAGGGAAAGAAAGACCATTTAGCTGTATTATATGCCAAATTCCCAGCTGACATAAGAGAACCTGGCTCCAGTGAACATCAAGGACCAGTGTCAATGTACATCAACAGAAGACAGAGCCTTTAAGAAGCCTTGCTAACTTACTCTGGTTATAATCATCTGGGATCCAGTTTTCCCTTGATTTCTGGGCGTAAGTTCACTCCGCATGTGACAAGAATTTGCGGTCGAATATCTGACTGTAATACAACTTGGACGAGACAGCTATTTTGTCACACTGAATTCATAATGCTACTCCTAATGCCTACATCTGCTACCGTTTCATTCCTACAACTCCCGAGATGTTGCAAAATTATTAAACTACAGGATTCTTTAGCAGCTGACTTTGATTCACCCTAACTGAAATTACTTAAGTACATTCATATTTACCTGGAAAAGACCATTTTTGTTGAAGAAAGTAAACTGAGCCCTGGATATAACTTCAAACTCATCTTCACTTAAATTCTTCAGTAAACTTGATGGTAGAACAACAGAAGCAAAGGCATTTGTCTGATCCTTGTCAAAATCTATCTGTTAAATAAAAACAACAAAAGAAAAGAAAATGTTCAAAACAAAAAGCAAAGCATTCATTGCCCACAGCTGGGTTCAGACCCTTCTGCAAGGAAATCTAGACATGAGACTAGAATCAACAACACTAACATGACCTGTATTTACATGAAAATTGATGCAATAAAAAAAAGCCTTAGGAAGTTCCCACTTCCTCCCAACAGGAGATAAGGCTTCCCCTACAGGTAAGCTGCAGATAAGAAAAGAAGACTCCTCCACTGCTATACTGATGATTTGCTATAACAATGGCAGTCAGAAATTTTCAATAACTTTCAGGCCACTTTTCCTCATAGCAAACAATGTTGAGAACAGAAAGATACACTTTGAATCCTTCTTCCTTGAGCTGTATTATTTAATCTGCACATACGATCCACGGACACATCATTTCTCCAGCACATCCACTTTTTGTGGGGGCATGTCACATTCGTACTTGACATTTGACTTCAGCGTTCTCCATCACTTCCTAGTAGTTCTTTCTCCTTCGTACTTACTATGTAGAAAACTTTTAAGATCCTAAACTCACTCACTTTGTGTAATGCCTTCGTTATGTTATCTGTAAGCAAAGTAGCCACTTGCCCTCGTATTGCATTTGTGTTGAATCTTGCTCATTTTCTAGCTCCTTTGTTGCTAGGCAATGAATGTATTTTGTCATCACTAAAGCAAAAGAAAAAAATTAATTTCTTTCTAAAACATTCCTGTAAGCATCAATGCACGTCTCAATAAGAGATGATTTCTATTGTAAATAATTTTTTTTTTTCACAAGTGGGACTTCTTTCTTTGCAGGATAAAAATTTTGACATATTGGACCTCCACAGAGCATAATGTCATTAACAGAAACTGATTTTGTAGTCAGTTCCACAGAATCACAAAACACAAGAAGCACAAGTTATATTTAACTTGTCATAAACGACATGAGCCATTCATCTTCAGGCACTGCTAATCCACAGACAAAATCAGAGGGAAAAAATAGATCAAATGCTTTGATTTCTCCCTCATCCACACATACACATATTTTTTTAACTAAGATTTAAGATTGTCTACGTCGTGTGGCACAGGGCCATGCAGAAAGCTCAGGTACTGCTCAATGACCTGCTCTGCCTACACGGCAGTGCCAACTGAGCTGCTAGAAACAGTGCACAACAGTGGTGCCCCTACTAGCTGGGGCAGGCCATGTTTGCTTGCGGTGCTCCCGTTCTAGAGGTGGCTACTGTGGACCTATCTCTGCATGAAACTATAGTGTACAATGCAGACGTTGCAATAGTGAACATCTCGCATAGCTACAGAATTCCTGTAAGTTTTTCATTCAGTGGTTTTTAAATGTGCTATTTTGTTATGAGATCACCAAAATGTTTGTGTTTGGCAGCTCATGTATAATCCATACGCAAAATAAAGTAGCTAACTTAATTCCTCATGGGATAAGTCTTTGCATTAACTAACTAGACAGCAAGAACAAGGCTTGCTAAACACTGTTCTTGTTCACCATAAAGATTTAATTCTCTTACTAGCTTTTATAGTTTCTGTATTACAGAAGAGAGACTTAAAATAGCAAATAGAGTCATCTCTCAATATTTTGTGCTACGTAGCACCTTTTGTCATCGGTATACGGTTAATCAATACAGGCAACATGTCAAATATGGCACAGTGACATAACAAGACAGCGGGAAAGAAAAGACAGTGCAAATTTGTATTTCATTATTTACCACACAACAATTCTATGACTTATATCACGGTAAATTCAAGGTGTATCACCATTTCCATCAAAGAAAGGGGAGTAAGCTATCTCATATTTGCTACATAGTAAAAGTGTTAAAGAATTTTACTGTGAGACGAGGAAACTCACGCTCCTAACCTCTCTACAGGTAACGTGTTCATGTATTTGTGCCTTTCATGATCAGTTATAGGACACTAATGCACCGTCAACTAACAGGAAGTTACAAGTCATGAGCTACAGGTAGATTTATTCAAATTCTAAGTTTTCATTAATTTACTGTGAGTAACAAGCACCCTTGGAAACGAGTCAGATGTGGTTCATAGGTATCTCCTGACGGGGCTAAATGCACTTGAATAACAGGATTTCAGAGGATAATTCTGCCACGTTAATCAGAAAGCATGCATGTGATAAAGACATCCCATTAGGTATTGTCTGCAAATAGAATGGAATAGGCTTCTATAAAGAAGTATGGATACATTACAGGAACAATTTAATAATATGAATCACCAAAAACTAACTTAGTTAAAGGTTTGGCAAGAAACAGGGGACTAAAATAGAATCTTTCCAAACTGCCATGGATACATTTGCTTTAAGAAAAAAAAAAAAAAAAGAAATAAAATCTGGAAATATTCTGACATACAGTTTGAACCCTTTAAGGCTTCCTGATGAGCCTGGGATAGATCACCATATCACTGGTGAACGGCCTGGGCTTTCACAAGGGAATCTCCTTTCAGCAGGGATAGCAAACATCTTTCCTGATAGGCATGGAAAATGTAAGCTGTGACCACAGCTGTTGCAGACATCGCTGGTGGAGAGGATGCTAGGAATTCTCACTCAGCTATTGGAAATGTAAAAGCCTGAAAACAAATTCATGTTCCAATAGGAACATTACAAATAATTTGATGGAGTTTGGATTTTATGATTATTTAGACAGTGCTTTAATAAATGATTCCAGGACAAGAAAAATCCTGGATGTCCTCAAGCCACAGATGGTAATTCTTATTATACATGTAGAACATCCCGAATCTATTTCAGACTTTTTCCTTTCCTCTTTCCATAAACATAGGATGAAACTTGGAGGAGAAATGTTCCTTTTCTTTGATAACAATCAAAAAACAATCAGTTATCAAGCTTCATTAATATGAGAGCTAAACAAAAGTATATTTATATCATCAAATATTACTAACACAGTTGATTCAGAGAAATTTTGGTCAAAACTTTTATGAAAATAAATGCATTAAAGACTGATTACATTAAATCCATTTGTACCTATTCAAACCAGCATTTGAGATTTGATCCAAAGTCTATATAAAATGTGTATAAAAGGCCTGTAGCCTTTTAGATTACTATTAGTTTTTATAATAGTCTTTTTTACCGTTTTTGATTTCTGCAGTACATGGCACTTTGTAAAACGGTGATCCATTTATTAGAATTCCTGTCTTGCCAATTCACAGCTGCAGTGAATTTGGTTCCATTAGATACTCATACTCTAGTGACTGTTCCACATGTAAATTCAGATTTGGTTCCTCTGGCCCAATAAATAGTAGGGTTTTTTAATTATTCTGTTTCATCTTTTCTACATGTTTCTCCAAGTAAGTTTCACTGTATTTGAAGGGTAACCTAAGTTTAACCTAGCTTAAGTACCTAGGAGATTGAGATATATTACCTCTACCATAGACTTCTTATATAACTATGAACAATATAATAAATATTTGTACATACATATATACCTATACACACACACACACATGTGCGTGCATATATATATACACACACATGTACACACATACACACATATATACACATACACACACATATACACATATATACATACATATATACACATACACACACACACATATATATAAAATAAATTTGTTTTTAAAAGTCTAGATACGTCATTACCACTAATTTCCAAAGGAGCTTAAGAAAATTCCAGTAGATATTCAGCTACATCTCAAATGCCCAAATAGGATCCGGATGTGGCTTTGTGTATACCTTGTCTGTGTTTCTCCACTTGTGAAAGACTTTTCTTGATTTGTGAAAAATAATTTTGAGCCTTAAATGGTATTGTGATGAAAATATGCTGAATACAGCAGCCTGTCTCGATACTGTCGCACTGGAAACCATTCTGCACTGTGAGTGATCTGTCTTTACTATACCTTTTGTTTGTCTGATTTGATCAGCCAATCCTATGTGAATGTCTTGAACACCATAGGATATCCCAAACAGCACTATGAGCCCACATGTGAGCAACTGGATCAGCCTTACGTGTCCATTGGCAATAAGTGTCTAAACTATACTGAAAGCTCAAACACCTATTGTATCTGTAGAAAGCTATGTGTAGATACCTACATTTAGCTGTCTCATTCTCAATCTGAAACTCATCAGTGGAGTTGAGATAATGTGCAGAAGACTCTTAAGGGTTATCTTTCCTTTTCATTATTCCGAAATAACAAAAAAAATAAAGCCAGTTCTGGATTCGTGAACCAAGTATTTTTCATCTGTATGGAACACACAGGTTCATCTGGGTTTCCTGCTACTCAAGGAAATATTACATTGATCTGTTTGGATGACTTCAGGAAAAAGGGAAAAGAGCAGTAGGGGGAGTACTGGAAGTTCTAAGAGGCTTTGCAGCACCTACAGAAAATATACTTTGAACATCAGATGCATTTCACATTCAAATACCATTTACATTCTGTACCTGAAAATCAGACGCATTATTCTGTGGGCTGACGCTAAAAGAAGAACCTTTGAATGAAGTTGAGTTTATAGAAGATACTCCAAGCGCGAGGTTTCGTGTTGAAATGCTCATGGATGGTCCAGTGAACTGGATCTTTAGAGCCAAGGCATCAATAGTTTTTAGAGCTCTAAAAACAGAAAAAAATTATTCTAAAAACTGAGTACAGAAGAAAAAAACAACTATGGCATTGTATGTTCTCCACTTCTAATATCATTTTCTTATTATTGACCGTCTTTATGTCACTCATTTGTGTATTCACTAGCAGATTGCCATGCTGTAAATTTACGTACCTCTGTTGAAAACAAAAGGTTTTGATTGACAGAAACTATCTGACTTCATATCACAAGTTGTGAAACAATCTTCCAACGATACTTAAATCTATGGTGTGTCATTTATCAGGAGAATTCTTTTACATCAAACAAATTGACCTTTGTCATGCACATTATTTTTAGTTTTGAAATAACGGAAGAAGAATCTTTTGTTCATCTCACCAAATTCTTTTTGAAGGAAATCAGAAAAGTTTGCTTTATTGCAATTGTTTTGTCTACATATGGAAGGATGAATCCATTTCTTAAGAGGCAGCGAAATGAGTTGTTCTCATTAGCGTTTCTCAAGTGTAGAAATACTTACTCTGAAGATGATGCGGCCAATACACTGTCTGAACTTGTTAGAATATTGGAAAAAATTGTCACCACGGTAGAACCCAGAGATTCATCAATTTCTTCATCGTTCACAATTTTTTTGAGCTTCTGGACAACATCATTTACTTTGTCTGAAGTTAGTTGCTGCCCTTCACCAGTGAGATTCAAAAGCTGATTGGCAATATCAGCTGCATTTTCTGTCAGTGTACACATAAAAGTAAAAAAAAAGAGAAAATAATGTATATTAATCCTAAAGCTATTCAGAAATTTTTTCTCATTGTTGAAAGCTAGAGCATGTTCTATGGTACCTGTAAGGACCATTCGGGTTTATTATTTTTTTAAATTTATAATTTTAGGAAAAAGTACGCAGAACTTGTTGAATCTTACATGATGTCCTCATTGGTTGTGTCCTTTTTTTTCCTTAATTTCATCTGAGTTTGTAAATCAGAATAATTATTAAAATGGTTTTTGAAATAAAAAAAGGGAAGTGAGACACGAAAAGTATATTTCCTCTTTTTTATTTCTCTTATCCTATCCTCTACTGTTCATCGGGAAAAGCAGCTTCTCTTTCATTCTTGAAGTGAAAAAAATGGGTCCCCAGCTCCCTACTACAGACAAAATATTCACTCTTTTAAGCTCTGGGGAGAAAGTCTGATCCCACTGTGAATGTTTCCTGTTCCTTCAGAGGACTACACTCTTGTTCAGAAGTAAATTTCATGAAAAGAATTTTCCTGGTAAGGAAAGTCTGATATTACATCCAATGGCAAAACATTAGTGTGAATTATAGATAAATTATATGTTTGGTGTCACCTGGATGGAAAACTAATGTAAATACTAACATCACACAATCTCAAAATATTCAATATCAGCCTTCTTTAGTTTGAAACTGGTTGTGCTCTTTAAAATTGTGTTTTCCAGTGCAGCTTTTGCAACATCTAAAGACCTGATGTTCATTCTATACCAAAAGATGTTTTCATCTAGCCCAACTGTTAAGGACCCAAGATAATCAACCAAGTTAGGTAGCCAGATTACCTAGGATCCTTGTATAATCAGTGAAGAAAGAAAAAGAGGCTTCTTCAGAAAGCAGTTCAGAACAGGAACGTACTGTAGGCACTCTGAATTACCTTTGAGACTATCATTTTCTCCACTGACTACAGAGAGAGATGTGGGAGACTCTGGCACTGCAGAAGTGGCCATAAAATTGATGTCTACTTATTTTATTATTCCTTTAAGTCCAGAATAAGTTCAAGAGATAATTTTTTAATTTGAGAATTTATCCGAAAAGTCTGAGCATAAGCCTAAGGAAGACAGTGGAAATCTTTCCACTGGTATCAATGGGCACTGGAAACATTTAAAAATTTGGCTTGACTGAATATCAAATTGAAGCAAGCTATCACCTGCCCCCATTCTTGCTTAAATTAAATGAAGAGTTTGATTGTTTCATTAACTCATATCCAGACAGTTTCATGGGTGGGCTGGAATCAGTTTGGTGCACTTCCCCAGAATTTAAATATTTACTTTGCCCTAATTTTTTAGAAAAATTTTAAACAACTCAGCATGAGAGAGGAAGGTATTCTTCCTTAGTGTAACTTCCTTCCTTAGAGTGATTAGTAACCAAAGTGTACAACACTTAGTCAGAGATGAAATCAGTGTACCCACCTGTGCAGTTTCTAAGATCAGGTTGGCCCCAGTATGATGTATAATTTTGCAGACCCAAATAGCTAAAGAGGAAAAATGACAAAATACACATGAACTGTAAGAGCAAAATAATATAAACGTCTCATAATTCTTCTGCAGATGTCACACAGATGTGCTGTTCGCAAGTTACAATTTTCCTAACAACAGGACCCCAACTAAAATGAACAATGTAATGTTTGACAGTGGAAATATGTGATCAATTCAGTGATAGCGCTGAGAAAGAAACCTCAGTTCCTTCTGACAAATTATCAGCTGATTCCTTATAGTAACTTGACAAATTGCATCAGTGCAAATCCTGGCCTTGTGTTTCGAGAAAGACTCAAGTTTCGATATAAATTACAAATGTGGCCTAATCAGATGCTATTTCTAAAATTTCTCTTTGATATAAAGGGCTTTGATCAAGTCCAGAGGAAACAGTAGGAGGTCTCAGAACATGTACAAGGGGTATGTGGAGACATAAATTTATGCTACATATGAAAACCTCAGCAGGCCACCATCAGATCCAGGTCCAAGGGGGAGGAGCCATAAAGAGACTAATTTTTTCAAAACGCTTTCTCAAAAGCCCTACCATAGCAAAATACCTAGATATGGCTCCTATATGAGACACACTTTTTCCTCACTTTTCTCTAGGGACAATCATGCTGATCACAGAGGCAAAGGCAGGAGGGAGAATGGTTATCACTTCACTAAACGAATGACAGAATTGAGTTATTGTTCACTTGATGAATCACAGAATCACAGAATCGTTTAGGTTGGATGGGACCTCTGGAGATCATCTAGGCCAACCTCCCTGCTCAAGCAGGGTCCTCTAGAGCAGATTGCCCAGGATCACATCCAGACGGGTTTTGAATATCTCCAGCGAAGGAGACTCCACTACCTCTCTGGGCAACCTGTTCCAATGATCTGTCACCCTCACAGTGAAGAAGTTTTTCCTCAGGTTCAGATGGAACTTCCTGTGGTTCAGTTTGTGCCAATTGCCTCTTGTCCTGTCGCTGGGCACCACGGAGAAGAGGCTGGCCTCATCCTCTTGACACTCCCCCTTCAGATACTTGTACACGTTGATGAGATCCCCTCTCAATCTTCTCTTCTCCAGGCTGAACAGGCCCAGCTCTTGCAGTCTTTCTTCATAGGAGAGGTTCTCCAGCCCTCTAATCATCTTGGTAGCCCTCCGCTGGACTCTCTCCAGTAGCGCCATGTCTCTCTTGTAGTGGGGAGCCCAGAACTGGACACAGTACTCGAGGTGAGGCCTCACCAGGGCTGAGGAGAGGGGCAGGATCACCTCCCTCCACCTGCTGGCAACACTCTGCCTCATGCACCCCAGGATCCCATTGGCCTTCTTGGCCACAAGGGCACACTGCTGGCTCATGTTTAACTTGTCCACCAGCACTCCCAGGTCATGAACACAGCACCTTTATTATAACAGCATGTTAAAAAGCAACCTTTTCATTTGGGAAGCACAGGGCTAGCAGAGTCCATTAGGACAGCCTTCCCCTGCCTCAGACAAAACACATCACACCTGCGCCTTGCACTGGCAAAAGCCGATGGAGGCAGAGGATGGAGAAAGCATAGCACAATGCAGAATACAATCATTTTTGATGAGAAGTACTGCACATGGACAATCAAAGGCATTGTGTAGACCACAAAAGAGCAACAAAGATAAGCAGTCCTGGGGCAGCAGAGGCCAGGAGCCTTAATTTGTAATGACTCTAAGGTTCTGACATAAAAACAATTTGACCCTGGCACTACAGACATTGCAACAAAAGTTGGTCAGTCAGAATGTAACAGTTTTTGTACAAGATTAACAGGCTGAGGAAGTGAGTTAGTTAAATATAATGCTGGTTGTCTTCCTGTTTGGCACAGAACCTCAAAGCTGATTCATATCCATGTTGCCATATTGTTTGCAGAAAGTAAGAGAGCTGGTCTTCTCCAAACATGTTCCAGGTGCAATGTGGGTGGATAAGACTACTATATTACAATTAATGGTGATTAACTTAAATACTGAACAGTTTAATTAGTATTGCATCACAGTCATGTTCAAGACATTCAGAGGAGATCAAAGCCTTATTGTTTTAGTAATATATCACAGGAAGCAATAATATTCCCTTTTCACAAATGGGAAGTAGAGATACAGTGCTTAAAACATTTGTGGTTGTTCACAAAGGAAGACTATATTAAAGAAAATTTATCCTAAACCTTAAAATCACATAACTTCAAGCATAAGATTATCCCTACCTTCAGTTACGACTGACTACAGCCAAAATGCTTGTTTCAAAAGATTGTTTTGACTTTTCATTCACTAGATGAGAGGTTATCAACTAAACAAATGCACTTCTCACCTTCAGAGAATTTTGTTGAGAATTTCATATACAAGTCCAACTAAAATCCAGCTCATTCTTGTGCCTATTATGATTTGGTAGTAGCAGCAGATGTGAAACTTTGGCTTTGAAATTACATAAACATCACGATTTGCAGAGAGCAGATTTGTTCTGTAAGAAGGTGCTATTTTTATAGGCACTTTGACCATGTATTAATTGGGGCCTCAATGTACCCTACAGAAGTAGTAACAGCTTTTTTTAATTACTAGTAAACTACATAACTTTACAGCATACACATAATCTTTTGTGCTTTTTATTTCTGCTCTTGAATCACAGTACAAAACCCATCTTCCCTAAATATAATACGAACGGCATCTGTTACGGTGGATGCAGTTTAACCATATAACCAGAAAGCTGCTGTAAAGCCTTCAGGCAGCTCTCAGCTTCTTGGGTATTTGAAAACTTACCAGGTTCTTGATGCAATCTGAACTGAGCTCCCATGGCAAAATGTGAAGTTGGTCACAGTGGGTCTGGTATCTGGCCAAAAATAGTTTGGAGGATTTTCTTCAGCTGAACATTTTTCTGTAAAAATAGCAACATATCAGAGTCAATGCTAAATTTCTTTATCTGCCCATTCTCAGTTCTTCAACCGCTGTGCAGCACACTGTTCTCTTCAAATGAAATGCTTGGATGCTATCTATAGAGCTGTATGGTAAAGGAGAGGTGCACAATGGGGGCAAAATATACCGCTGCTGCTCAGGAAAAAGGACGGAATGTTCCTGCACTGCATCCACTTGCAGGATCAACCTCCTCCTCCCAGGGAAGGGCAATCTCTGACTGGGAGAGGCTTGAGTGGGAAAGGATAGGGGACATTCGACAGCTGAAAGAAGACTGATTAAGAGCAGCAGTTGGCAGGAGCCCAAACAAACAGGGCTGAGGAGTGGGCGAGGTGCCTTGGAGGTCCAAAATGTCTCATGACAGCTCTGGCAGTGTTATCAGGCTTCTTTATCCTCAGACTATCTGTCCCAAAAGAACTATCCCAACTTCTTTGAACCATACAGCACAACACTGACTGAAGCAATCTGGACAACTACATTTGTTTTAAAAGAGATATCTTGAGGATGGTTCTCTGAGGTCAATGGAACAATAAGGCTTAAAATAACAATTTAACGTCTGGATTAGTCACATTGTTTGGAAATGCGTTATTATTTTAACACACAAGATGCTTATTTTAGGACAAGCGAACAAAATCTATAGGATAACAAAGCCAAAAATTACTTACCCACGGGATCAACATCCACAGTATGAAGCCTAAATCCACCTGTTATGGTCTCATTATTATTTATGAGCTTCTGGCGGATGTCTTGCTCTTCTAAATTGATGTTGTTAGTAGAATTATAAACAAGAAGAGCCAAAACCCCAAAACTGCAAGGAAAATTATCCGAGTGTTTCAGTCAGAACAGCAGAGTCCAAATGTGTGGAAATAAAAATATCTGACAAACCCTGGTTTTCCCAGGGTGGAACAGTGTCACCAAGATAATGTTGTTCCTTACCTGTAAATTGTTATTCTTGTATATCCAGGGCCCTGATAGGAAAGTACTGTTGGGAAATTTCATCCCCTACTTACCACTCCAGAGGTAGCTCATCAAAAGAGCTAAGAAACGTTTTCAAAAGATTTAGATTTTATATTTTAAAAGACATTAAAGATGACAGCAAAAAATAGTCTCTGCAGTGTGTAACGCCCAGTTCTAAATGGGTCCTAATTATATTTAAAAATCTGGTCCCTAATGGCCTAGGAACTTAAAAGCTGATTCGTCCTACTTCACAAAACTTATCAGGATGGGACAAATTATCCTTTGGAGGGTCTATCTATCCACTGACTACAGAGGAGGACTAGAAGATTGGCTAAGAACAGATGCCTAACATTTAGATGTCTAAAGTTTGATGAAGTGTAAACTGCTCTGACACACTTCTGAAAGTTTTAATCCTAATTAGGAAAGTCTGGCTGCTCGGATGAGTAATACAAATTTTAGCAGTAATAGCTGTTTTGCGCTGTAGCTTACTGCTACTTTCTTGGGCATAAGAGTAGTACAAAGTGCCCAAGTCTCTTTCCTGTGAGAGAAATAAAACAGTCCCCACCCTTCTCCTAAAACATAGCTTTTCTGGAAGGAAATAATGAACAGAAAAGCAGTTCTAGCAGGACACAGGAAAGAAGGCCAGAGTGGAAGGCTCAAAGATTTCCTCCTGGGACACAGAAAACACATGTTGGAGAAGAGAATATGTCAGTACCCAGGAGCATTGCTTGGCTCTTACTAGTAGGAGGTGACGCCACTGAAGCATGGAACATTGGATCTCCATGGAAGCCAAAATGTGGAAAAAAGAAAAAAGCAAGCCTACATTGAGCTGCCTTCATCTTAGCATTGCCCTTGGATACCCAGCAGTCTGAATAAAGACAGCTCTTCCTGGTGCGTGAGCAGCTCCTGGCAGCCTGCGAAACGGTGGCACTGCCAGCATACATACGCTGAGGGAACGCACTGAACAAAGCCACTTTCACCCGGAGTCCCCAGTGGGAGCGGGCAGGAGTGAGCTAAAGGGTCTTGCTGCCTACCTGAAGAAGAGCGGAAGAAAAAATCTGTAGGAGCACTGTATTAGAGAGGGCTGGTAGGGTTTTGAGGTTCCATTTCCTAGATAAACCAGGGCTTCATTTCCAAAAATCTTCCAGAAAGCCATCTCCATGATGACAGCTCAGAGCTGGGCTTTTCAGAGATGCCTAGTCTGGTACAGTACAAAACTACAGCTTATTGTACAGATGTTGCTGACAGATGGCAGTTTTAACCCTCTTTGTGACAGACATCAGTTTGAAAAGTGAGTATCTCCAAACAATACATCTGAAGTATTCTCACTAACGAAATAGCATTAAAAGAGAAAACATCAGAAAACAACCTTTCAGCTTAGGCCAAAAAAAAGCACACAAAGCCCAAACCTCATAAAAAATCCAAGAATGTAAACTAAATACTCCTTACATCTCACTGTCGCGATGTGACTCATAAGTAAAGAAATGTATGCAGTCACTGGGGTTTCTTTTTTTTTGAACATCAATACCTTTTCCTTTTTCCTTCCAATATCTCCTGTTTTATTTTTAACATATTGCTGAAGAAGATAAAAATGTGGCTACAAGTTACCTGCTGGCTTGGCCTGGGTTTTTTCCAGTGGATCTATTTCAGCAGAGGAATTCCAAATACCCCTGGCAAGATCGCTCCTGCTCTGCTCTCCGATACACTAAGTTTCCCCTAACATTCCTTTGGTCTCCATGGAATGTTTAATACATGGCAGTAACCTCAGCAGGGTGGATGTACATTAACAGGCTTTTGGTGTATGCCTCGGATATATTATGAGGCAAAAAATTTATTAAGGCTTTTATTTTTAGCAGAAGCATGAAAATTGCCTATGAGATTGCCAATTCCTTCAGCCCTCCAGTACTTCAGCCCCAGAGTCTCCTGGCATTCAACCATCTTTCCTAAAAGATTCTGGCTTCATTCATCTATTCCCTTTACTTTAGAAGAGGAAAACTTAATATACTGGTGCCACTCCCTACCTCAGCACTTTGGCTGCAAAGCAGAAGTCATAAGGGAACGGTTGCTGAATAATACTACGCTACTTATTGAAGTATTCCCAACTAAGCAAAACGATACTTAGTACCCATAACTGTGCAACAGAACGGAAGGGACAATGGTAGATGAGGTAGAACTGGTTACAGCTATCTTGAACGAATTATAGGGAAAAGTACCAATTATGAATCACTGCTAAAACCACCTGTTAAACCATTATATTATCTGTTTTCTGAGAAACTCTTTGAGCACATATTATGTATGTTGTGTAATGAGAACCTGTTGCACATTATGATGAAAATCACAATTAGTATAAACTTTTCAGAATGACTTACGCTAGCATCCTGCGGTAAACAATAAAGTGACTTTTAACTTGACAGTTGACGCAAATTGAAGCTGAGTGTTTCCTTCCATCTTTGTCACGCTCAGATCCCAGAAAAAAAACATTTCAACGCTGAAGCATGAAATTCTCAATTTGTGAAACAGTAGGCCTGCGCTCACATAAATGACACTACTGATATGCTGTGTTGGTCGTCGTAGGATTTACTGCACCGAACCTTACATCTTTTATTGTGCACCATATAGAAGCAGATAAACTCTTGCAGGAGTAATCAATTAAAGCTAATGACAGATGGTATCATCTACAGCTACTTGTACTACTGCTTTTGCCATCAATATAAGAGAATAGACTTGGTGAAGGTATAGAAAGTGAAGGCAAGTATTTATGCCCCTCTTCTCCTTGACAGAAACGGGCAGAGCCGAAGCAAGTAGGAAAGAAGGGGAAGATCACCGTCTGTCTCACTTTGTCCTAGTCAGTGGAGCTAAGCGGGTTCAGAGAGCAGTGTAGCAAAGCTGCATCCTAATCAGAGGCATAAAAGAAGGTGGGGGCGTCTCGGCTGCCCTTACTTGTATCACAAAGGGCGCATTCTGCTCCGGCAGGGTGACTCAGGAGCTATTCCAGGACAGTGTGCCTACACACGGGCTGTGGTCTAACAGCAACACTGCGCGAGGATCCTGAAGCAATGACTAAAAACGAACCATATGAAGCATGTAGCACAAACCCCAAGACATGTGGCTGAAAATTATTAATGGATATTTCTCCTCTCTCTTTAATTGTACTAGATGGGTTGAACTGATACTGAATTATTGTGGTCATCAACTAATCACTACTAATTTGTTTCCTTGTTGGTGTTAATTGATGTAGAAGTATAACGAGAATGATTTTTAAAGCACTTAAGTACGCAATGAATCTAAATTTCAACTGAAAGTCACGGCAACTTTGGTTCCTAACTACCCAGGCATACGTTTAAAACCTTATTTTGTGTGTTAGTGTTAAATTCTTTACAACTCTTGCTGCTGTGTTGGCTTTGAAGATAAGCAGTGATTGGTGTATACACTTTCAGGTTGGCAGCACAGGCAGGCCCACATACTCAATTACTTGTAAACACTGCGGAGTTCTGCACATTAACAGGACTGCCAAAAGAACAGCTGACCATAATGTAAGCTACTCAGTGAAGATGTATGCCAAATTGTAAACAAAATGTTAGAAAATACGCAAAGTGAGAGAGAAAGAAATGCAAAAGGTCTGCTAACGAAATCTAAGAATTACTTAAATCTGCAATGGCATCTGCAAAAGCACTTTTCCCAGGAATACTGTACTCAATTCTGTCACGCTATCATCCAAAACTACAGCAGAAATATAGGGAAGTTTAAAGCACTCCACAGAAATATCAGAGGTGTGGAGAAACTTTTTTTAAGGTGACTTCGACTATGATAACGTTAACAATGGTCAGAATAGAGAGCAGAAAAATAAGACTGGGTATAATAGACATATTCAAAGAAATGCAAAGTATGGAGAGGGTCCTCTCTCAGTAGAAGTTGATATTATAAAAAGGATATAAAATCTGAGACTTCATGACGTAAACTAAAAATTGCAGCAACTTTTTGTACTATTAAGAATAAAAGCATTCTAGACCTTCCTCTCTAGTGAATGGCCACTGTATCAGAATACTGCTGCAATCTAGGATGATGATTTCTCTGCTCCTGTGTTTGCTTCTCTGGGCCTTGTTCTGCCTTGCAGAACCGGTGCAGGAATACAAATAGCAGCAGCTTTTCAGAAAGCATTTATTAAAATGCAACAATTTGTTATAAATATATTGGTATTCTTTAGTAGGGCCCGGAAAGGGAATGTAGTAGAAAGGCAAAAGAAAAAGGGCTGGAATACCCAATGTTTCAGCAGCTGATCTTAGGTGAAATGAGCTTTTGGTTGCACTAGAACTGTGTTACAAAACTACAGAGAAAGTCCCCTTCCTCCCTGAAAAAAGCAATCCATCACTTTGCTAAAAATGGCATCTGACGATGTCAAGCCTGTATCAAATCCAATTAAAGTCAGTGGAAAGATTCAAAAGAAGTCAGTGGAAGCTGGCTCAAGACTAGATAGCTTCAGCAGG